ACGAAACTAACGAGAGCCTCTGGATGCCAGACCACAGACCGGGCTGCGGGGACTGCTCTTCGTCCCAGCGACCATGGCTGGGCCTTGGGCGCCAAGATGCTGAGGAAGCAGGTGAGTTCAGAGACAGGGCCCCGCTGCCCAGAGCTCCGCAGGCACGTACCCTTCGGCGTGGTTCTGGCCCTGAACAGGCTCCTCCCAGAACCCCACGCCCACAACGATGGCCCAGCCAGTGCTGTGCCCGCTGGAGGGGCAAAGGAGCCCCTGCCCCTCCAGGCAGCCCCCCAGCACGTATGAGGTGTCTTTTTGGTGTCAGAATCGACATCTATCTCCTTGGGGCTTCCACCCGCCGGTCCCAGTGAAACCCAACAGGACTGTCCAGGACAAGCCAGGACTTCTCACAGCTGGTGCCTCTGTGCCCTGTCCTTTGTCGCAAGACTGCTCGCTCCCTTCAGAGGTTCCTTCCGAGGTCAGCATTGGCCCCATCGCCGACGCCCAGATTTACTTTTGATGGTCTTCAGTCGTCACAGAGCAGAGTCCAGATCCAATCACGCAATATTTTCTTTAACATATTTAATTCTTCTGAGCAAATCAAATCCAACTTGAAATCGAGCCTCACACTGACTATTTTAATAGCCAATATTCCCAATGGTGTATTCAATGGGATACCGAGGGTTTGTGTTGTTTGTTCCAGAGCTTCATGCCCCCTCTGCACTTCTCATGCTAAGGCTGTAGGGCGTTGGCTCCAAGAGGCGCTCTCCCTCTCCAGGTTAAACTCAGCGCTGGAGCGCCCTAGCGCTGAAATTCCCAACAGCCTGGGCTCTTGTACACAGACACCACCGAGTTCCACACTATTACAAGGGCCACAGTCTTTGAAAACCTCACATACTTCCCGAGATGGAGGAGAGATCTATGGCTCAGGGAGGCTTCCGGCAGACGGATGGGGACCAAGTGCCCGGTGAGGACAACGTATGCTGGGGACCCACGGGGGTCCTTCTGGGGCCAGCACGGTGGCACCGTCCGGCCGTCCACAGGCAGCAGCTCTAATCTCAGCCTGGGGACGCCGGGGCGCCCAGCCGCCTTTCTGGGCCCTTCTGCTTTAACGGGAGAGGACATCACTGTGAGCAAGCGGGCCCACTGCCCTCGCTTGGACCTCACGCTTCCTTGAGGAAGGGGCTGCACTATTTCACACTGTCGGCTCCCGAAATCACACCGATAGTTACGGGGGGGACAGGTGTGACCAGGCAACATCTCTCGTGCGACTTGTGCACATAAGCCCTCCACTCGCCACGTCGGAACTCAAAATATTTATAAAGAAATTCTTCCGTCTTCGTATCTGCTCCTGTAAGCTACTGGACTTACTCCATCCACCTGGCATTGTAAATAGCCCTGGCTGGTGGGGCTCAGTGGACAGAATGCTGACCTGCGAACCGAGGGGTCGCCGGATCAGTTCCTGGTGGGGGCACATGCCTGCGTTGCAGACCAGTGTTTCTCTTTGTCTCTTTCTCCCTTCCTTCCCCTCTGTAAAAATAGTAAAATCTTTTTAAAAAATTGTAAATAGGAGAAAATGATTGCCCTGCATAGGCTCGGTTGCAGCATCTCCCACTGAATCCTGCACTACACGCGGTGTAGGATTAGTTCCTGTTCTCCGGCAGGAGAGCAGTGTGCCCACCTGGAGGAGGGTGCGGGTGCAGTGCGGTGCCTGGGACAGGACCGCCGCCTTCCACTGGCCGCGCCCACAGCCCACCACGCGCAGAGGCCTCCTGCTTCTGAGCAACACGAGTGACGATGCCGCGCACTTGAGCCTCTGCGTTCGGGGTGGGCAGGCCCAAGTCCACTCGGTGCCAGAGCCTGCGTGCTCGGCTGAGGCCAGACGTCTGCGTGCAGCTCCTTTACATGTCCGGCCCGGGGAGAGCTCGGAGCTGTCCCCCCCCACCCCCCGGCCGCTGGCTTGGGCCAGACCCTCAGGGACAGAGGCGGACAGCACATGCCCTGCCCTTAGGAAGCTCCCAGTCTCCTGTGCCACAAAAGGCGGGCAGCAGGGTCGGCAGCACGGCTTCCAGGGACTGGCAGGATACCCCGTGCTGGGCCCGTGTGCTCTGCAGACTCTGGCTGGTCTCCCCCTTCCCACTGGCCCTGCCCTGGCCGGCATGGGGGATGCTCCTTCCCTCTGGCTTCTGGTTGCGTTTGGTCACGGAGTGGGGTGGACAGGAGACCAGAGGCGGCGGGGAAGGGAGAGTGAGGTTAGGGTGCCGCCCCCGGGCTCCCTCTCCCTCCGGGTCACCACCAGTTGGATGTGTCCCTGGCTGAAGACCACAGCTCTTGACCGCAGGTCCCGGCACACCCCTGGGGTTGTGACCCCAGCAGTGCCCCACGGCTCTGTGGACACGCCTGTGGTTGAATCCCCTCAACGACCCAGTTTGGGGGGTGCTGTGTTTTCCCCAGAGCCCTGATTGACTTTCGGTGGAATTTTATTATTTTTTTTTATACTCCAAAGGGAATTAAATCCAGTCATTTGTTCTAATGGGGTATGTCAAAACCCACAAAACCCAACTACTTTACGAAACATCTTGTAAAACATTTTATATCTGCAATTGAGCCTTTCCAGCATGAGTTCAGGCGACAGCACCGATGGTGACGGTGCCGGTGACGGCAGGAAAGAGAAACAGGACTGTTTTCTCACATTGAGAGTTTTAGCCTCTAAAAACGAAGTGCACCCAGCTTTAGTTTCAAGAGCGGAATGCTGAAATTTCCACGGTTTATGCAATGCGCTTTGAGTTCAGAATTGCCGAGACTTAAAATATCGTTGAACCTCCAATGGCCTCGGCCATGCGGATGCACTGGGACCTCAGAGACGTTAGAATGTGGGGAAGAACAGCTGTAGAAGCACTAAAACCCGGCCTGGCTCAGAAAAGTGACTCATCCGGAGTTCAGCAGGCAACTCTTCCTAGGGAGGAATGACACGCTGTCTCTTTACAGAGAACTTGCTGCCTTCCTGTCTGTCGGAGGGACGTCAGGGCCAAGGGCGTCACCACGACAACACTCTCGTACCTCAGCTGGAAGGGGAGGTCGGTTCCCCCTCTGACTGCGGGCAGTAAGCTTCTGAACCCACGGACTGTCACTTGTGATCTGTGCTTCAGACACCACGCTCCTGTCTGATCTGGACTTTTCTAGGGCGCCCGGGAGCCTGTTTACGCCACAGCTGTTTCGGCTGCGTCATCGGTGGCAGCCCTGCCCTGGGCTCCTGTTCGAAGTGCGTGGCTGCACAGCCTCAGGGACGTGGGAGGTGGTCCGGACACGTGCACGGTCACGTCCCGAGCTCCCCCGAGGTCGCCACCAGCTGGTTGGACCCCGCGGAAGGTGCAGCCGCTCCCGGCTGAGGTGGAGGCCGCACCTCGCTCTCCCGGTTGCGCCATGTCTGTGGGTGGGTGGTCGAAAGGGGTGAGCACTGCGCAGTGTGGTTATAGGCAGACGTGGCTGTCAGTTTCTGCTAAGCGGCGCTTTGTGGAAGAGTCACTGGTTGGAAACACGCATGAAACCCAGTAAGACGTTCACGTGTGGAGTGGGCCACTGCTTTCCCCTAAAGCCGTCTGCCTCTCCCCCGGGCGTGTGGGGCGCTCAGGGCTTCCCGACATCACCTGACCTGGTGTCGAGTGGCTGTGGCCACAGGCGGGGTGGCGCTCTCTGCGACGGGTTGAAAGTCTCACCAGTGCGTGGCGCCTATGGTCAAACCCTCCTCTGGGGGCAGCGCGGTGGCATCTCGGTGGGCGTGTTGACCCACCGTGTCATCACCACCGGCGACACTGACAGAATCGCCCTTGCTGACGTAACGAGAGGAAACCCGACTTCAGTGGCTGCCCTCGTCAGCAGGGGCCTACGGGAGGCAACGTGGCGGGAAACCTGGGGAGGAAGCAGAGCTTCCGGACGCTCCTCTGCTCGGCCGCCGCCAGAGCCCCTGCAGGCTGCCCAGCACCCCGACCCTCGGTCTCCTCGTCAACCTGAAACGATGCTGTAGCCGAGCACAGAACCGGGGCGAACGCCACGCCCAGCGCGCACGCCGGGAACTCCGTCCTCCCCCTGCTCACGTGTGCACTGTGGGTTGGCGGGCTCTCCGGGGACAGCAGGAGGGGACAGGCCACTTCCTGCCACATCGCCACAGCTACCAGTGCAACTCCGCTGCGAACAGCCACGTGAGGAAGCGAGCGTGGCGGAAACGTAGACAACAGCACCGAGGCCGCAGAGGTGGCCGCGGTGGAGACGGCGCGCCCTTCTGCCACTGCACAGCAGCAGCTGGAGCCACTAGGCAACGTCGGGGAGCGTCGGGTTTCTTTCGAAGTTTGTCTTTAACTTATTCACGAAAACCACATTAGCCCCACCCGTCCTAACGGAATGCACGTGTGTAGGTGTGTGTCCCCACAGGTGTGTGTGCGCCCCCTCAGGTGTGTGTGTGCCCTTACAGGTGTGTGTGTGCCCCCACAGGCGTCTGTGGAAAGAACCGTGAATCCCCTGGAAGGATGCCCTGGGAAGATCACATCCAGCGTCACAGAGAAGGAAAACCGAGGACATGACGTGTCAGAGGGAACGAGACACAAGCCAAGACCCCAGGGCTGTGTGTGGCGCCACCAGAGTGACGGGCTCCGAGGGGAGGGTGTCAGGTTGGAATCAGGTCTTCTGCCAGGAAGGAAGACCCCTAAACCAGGAGAGGCACGTCTCCATCAGGGACACACTGCGTGGCACGCTCAGTGGGCATGGGTGCTGCTGGCCCAGGTGGCTGCGAGGACCAGAACATAGGCACATGACAGGACACCAGCGTCGCCACTGCCGGTGACAACTCATTTGGCAGATGATCTCCAGCCCAGTCGGAGAGGAGACCCCAAGGGCCTGAAGCGCCACCACGGGGATGGGGCGCCCCTGCAGCAACCCCGTCATCTCGCACCCGTGGTCCTCAGGGCGTGTGATGTCACTGACTGGGAAACCACGACCCACCGCAACAGAGCCCTTACCTTCCGCGGTGCCCGACAGGCCGTCGGCTTTGAAGTTGCTGGTGCTCTTCTTCCTCCGGTGCTTCTTCCTGTTGGCGTGGGGGGACGGGGGCGGGTCGAGCTTGGGGCTGGTGGTGCTGGAGATGCTGGGGCTGGAGCCCAGGGAGTCGCCCAGCCCCGTGTCTGTGGGGGTGGAAAGCAGAGAGAGCAGGGTCAGCAGGCTGCGTGGACACCAGGAGCCCACCGGCCTTCCCAACACCTGCCGCCGGACCGGCAGGCGAGTCCCACAGCGTGCGATGCATGGCCCCGCAGGACGGGAGGCCCGGGGCGTCCACGCACTACTTAGATGTTTTATGTATGCATACGTGTATAAAAAATGCAATACAGAACACAGAGTGCAGTGGGAGACCGCGGGACGGGAGGCCGGGGCGACCAGCACTGAAGGGAGCTGGTGGACGGGCAAAAACCTCTGGTGACACAGCACTACAGGGTTAACACAGCCACAGTGCACGGAACGTAATTACGTGCGTGACAGCCACGGTGTACAACGCTGTGCTGTGTACCTGAAAGCTGCTGAGACGACAGACGCCCAGAGCTCTCATCACAGGAAAAAACTCCGTAACTGCGGTAACGGATGTTAACCAGACCGACTCGGGTGAGCACATCACTGTCTGTATTACGCGCGGTCCTCACCGTGCGCCCGAGACTACTGCGGCGAGATACGCCAGTTATGCAGCAAGGAAGGGGGCAGAGGGAACCAGAGTCGCGGGGCTCCTGGGGTTGATGCGCCGCCCGCCAGGCAGGCAGGCACCTGTTTCAGCACCACCTGCGAGCCAAGGAGAGGCTGACGCCCCCACCGCGCAGCACTGAGGGCCTGCAGAAGGGAAGTGAGCGGCACCTGTGTGTGGACCCCTCGCCTCGCGGGGTCGGAAATGAAAGCGGGGCGCTCGGAGACATGTCGGCAAGGGCCACCTTCCGTGTGAGCACAGGGGCCCAGGGGCCCCTGCTGGCCCGGCCTGGAACGGCAGGCGTCTCACTGATGCCCAGCCCTGGCGTTTGCAAGTCGATGGTGCAGACCCGCCGGCTTCTGATTCGCGGGCACCGTTGGGATATTTTAGGGGCAACTTGTCATGCCTGTGTTTACCTTTACCACGGAGAAGACCACTGTCCTGCTGGGACCAGCAACGACCGCATGACTCGGCCGAACAGTGAGAGGCTGCAAGCTGGTGCAGCAACACCACCCCCCCCCCGCCCCCGCCTTGGCGCGTCTCCCTCGAGTCAGCACCTGCCGTGGCTCGGCTGCGTTTCTAGACACTTGGGACCCACCGCTGAGAAAGACGGACAGTGCGTCGCGTCCGGCCAGCGTGCGGGAGTAGCCGGGCCACAAGCCAGTGTCCTTCAGCAGGCGGTGGGTGTGAGGAGGCCTGGAAGTGGGGGGTGGTGCCAGGGGTGGGGGCTGCCATTTCAAACCGGTGGTCAGGGCAGGTCTCGCTGAGAAGGGGAGCTCTGAGATAAGACCGGACCTGGTGACGCGTCGGCCCTAAGAGAGAAACACACCACCGGGTCTGACCCTCGGAGACCTGGGGAGGCTGCATCCGAGAGGGGAGGCGCCAGCTGTTATTCGGGGAAATGGATTTGGGTGGAAGGGTGATATCATTTACGGCAAAGATACTTGAACGCAAACTGCATTTCAAATTCGTTCATTGTGTGGAGTTCTAGAAAATTCTGTCACACGTTGAGAAACATAAAACACAACTTAAGGTGTACTTTTAGATACACGTTTCCAAACATGCCTGAGAGCACAGCTTCCCAGATGTGCTAGGACCAGAGACCCCTCGCCCGAGTCTGCGACGTAGTGAAGAGGGCCCAGCAGGGCACCACACAGCCCCCCCCCCCCACGGAGGACAGGCCACCGCTGCCCCACCAGAGCTCCAGCCCGACGGGGCGGGGTCGGTCTCAGCAGCAGCCCACACGGCTGACTGTGCCCCCTCTGCCGGGAAGCCCTCTGAGATTTCTCACACGCGTGGACGCTGTGGTGGGCAAAGCCCAGGGTGGGAGCCCCTGAGAGGCACCCCCCCCATTTGACCACTGCTCCCGGCTGTGGGTGAGGTGGCACACGACTGTGACATCAAGCCGTGACCCTGGAGGAGGGATCCCAAATTTGTTGCTGGAGGAAGGGCAGTTAGCTGCGTGGTGACTGCTCAGAGTTGGTGGCAACAGTGGGCAGGCTAAGGGGGCGCGTGGATGGTGGGGCGAGGACAGGCAGCTGCCACCAAAGCACTTGTCCACCTAGAGGACGCTCCGCACACCAGGTCCAGGTGGGAGGGCCGTGGCCAGCAGTAGGAACCACGGCCACGGCCCAGGGGAGGTGGTCACAGAGCCAGCTTATGGCAGAGGTCAGGAGGGGCAGCGCACTGGGGCAGGGAGGCCAGCAGGAGTGGCCAGGGACCCCATGGAGGGGCCCACGGTGTCTAGTTAAGCAGGTCCCTGAGCCCTGCGCCCGGATATTAGTGCCCCTGGCTTGTAGGTCTTCGGCACTCACTCCCAAGAGCAGTGGGCACTCCTCGGTCTAAGTACGAGTGCTCCGAACACACCAGGCTTCCACGCTGTGCCTGTCGCTCCGACGGCTCGGCTGCCTGACAAGGTGTCCCTCAAAGCCAGGAGGCCCCTCAGAAGCCCAGCCGAGCTCCACCGGCAACACCCCGGCACCTCCTGGCTGCCCACAAATAACGCTCTGGATTCTGTTTCAACTGCCAGGCACCCTGACAGGTGACGACTGCCAACCACGTTAACCGCTACAGGAGGGGCGAGGCGGGGAGAAAAAAGGCACGCAAGCGCCTCATTACTCCACATCGAATGCGGCGTGGCTGGCGCTGCAGAGTCCCCGGGCCGCGCGCGCTGAGCCGGCTGGGCTGGTCCACGGCCATCTGTGTGCTCAGTGCCGGCCGTTAGTTCTTCCCAGTCGGGCACCAATGCCCGACGTACACCCCCAAAACGCATAATCCAAGCAATAACGATAACAGCCTGCAGGCCCTCCGGGTGCGGGATGTGAAGTATGAGCGTGGGGAGTAGCCTCCCTCCTCACTCCGGGAGCCGACAGGCATGACCGGAGGGATAAAATAACACTCCGCTCGCATAAATCTCAGGCAGCCCGCCCGAGACGGACGGGCGGGGATGGGTCCTCAGCCGTCATCCCGGCAGGCAGGCCCAAGGACGCTCATAACTTATTTTACAATCATTTAGTTTCAGCTCAAGTGGAAACCGTGACAACTTATCTCTGCTGACAAGATGCCCTGTCGAACCTGACAATTAACTCTCCTCTGATATCTGCCCAGCCAATCATTAGCTGGGCTGCTTCCGATGGGCCGCTGAGGGCGCACCTCCGGGAGAGTTGCCGCCCCCAGGGGTGTGGGCGGGCTTCTGCTGCCCTGGCGGGCTCTCAGGCAGACCCGGCCCCGCTGCGCCCACTTCTCGTGGACCACCAGGAGTTCTGTGACCCCTGCCACGGGCCCTCCGATGCACGTCCCCGGGCCCCAACGAGGTCAGAGGTCAGCTCCCCCGCCCCCATATTTGCAGCCTGTATTTCAGGGAGCCCTGGGCCTTGACTTGGAGAGGGGATGCGGAGAATGGCAGCAGGGGGCTACCCACTGTCTGAAGGAGCTGTTCGCTGGCCCCAGGGCTGGTCAACTGGGATTTCCTCCATGCTAGCTGAAGACACTATACACCTTAAATGCATGGTCACAGAAGCAGGGGGTAAAAAGGAAAAGGGGAAAGGGTGGGCAGGTGTGTACTGGCTCTCTTTCTCTCTTGCAAACATATACCCCAACTCATCCATTCGGCAGTGTTATAGAAACAATACATCGCTCCCTCGCCCCCTTTTTTTTGGCATTAAAAGAATTCAAAGAGATCAAAGACAGGATTGTTTGTCAGGGCCAGTGCGGGGGGGGCTCAGTTGAAGGTTAAGACCCTAAAAACCTAAGACGGAGTCTTTGCGGCTGCCGGCACACCGTGACACGCCTCCTCCAAGACAAGGCAGCCCAGAGTGCTTATTTGGGTCTTGAATACGCGCACGGCCCCTTCTGAACCTCAGAGAGACGTGCGGGCTGGTAAATAAAGGACAGGCCACCCCTGCCACCCGAGGAAATCACAACCCCCCGGCCTCTGTTAAAAGGCGAATGTGAAGCGGAGTTCAAACCCTCGCCCCTCGCACAGCCCTTTGACGGGAGCTGCCAGCGGGGGTGGGGGGGGTGGCCGACTTGGATCCCCAGCTCTGAAGACGGTTCAGAGCCAGCTGCATTGTCCGCTCCCTCTGCCGCTCGCGATGCGCGCACACAGGTGCACGGTGTCAGAAGAAGGGGCAGCGGGGACACGATGGGGGGTCGGGGAAGATGACAGGTGTTGGGGCAAAGGAAGAGACAACACAGTGTCAGACTGGGTCACAGAAGTGGGGAGGAAAGGGACAAAATAGGGGGAGGGGAGCGGCACAGAATGCAGAGAAGCACTGCCTTCCCGGGCTGGGCCAGTGCCAGTGGGATCTGCTCCAAAGGGGCCGAATGGACCGGATTTTCAGAGACCCCAAGTTTACTTGGAGCCCCGACGCACGGAGCATGCTGACCAAGCCTCAGAGGAGACCAGCACAGGTTCCGGTCGCTGACCAGGGTGCAGGTTTCTCTGGGAGGCGGCAGGAAGGTCCTCGGACCGACTCCGGACGGCGCACGTCCCTGGGACCACACTAGAAGTGACCGAGCTGTCCCCCCGCCTTAAGTGGGAGGACTGCACATTGTGTTCTCTCTCCACAAAGCTGCTTTTCAGGGAAGGAAAACTCTGGCGCGGCCACCCCGCTGTCGGACAGGACGAAGCAATCGAATACGAAGACAGCTGGTCAGCGTCACGCTGGAGGGTCAGGAGGGGGCTTGGGGACACTCAGAAATGGAAACTGGAGGTCGTGTGCCAGACTCAAGCCCCAAAGGGGACTGAGGTGGCTGCTCACGCCTGCGGCCAATGCGACCCCTGGCTCTGTGCTGCGGGCCCCTGTGGGGCTGGTCCTGTCCCCTCCCTGCCCTGTGGAGCGGAGTACGGGCCTGGGCCCGGCCCCGTGTCTCCTGTCCTCCCCTCCCACCCCGTGCACTCCGCTTTCTCTGCACCCGCTGTCACCTCGCCCACAGCAGACATCCTGCAAGCCC